CTTCACACATCAAATACAGACAAAGGCAACAATACTTTGACTGTCGAAATGTCGCCAGACCAGGTGGACAGACTGATAGAACAGCTCAAAGGTGCACGGGAAAAGTTGGCTCACGTATCCAACTCTAGATAAGAAACTGTGATTTGTCATTCTGTGTTGCTCTTGTAAGTTTGTGATTTGATGTTGCAGCCTGATATTTTATTCCAAGCATTTTGTTGACTGGCAGGTTGGCAATGGTGATGACATTATTGTTAATAGAGATGTGAAAAATAAAATGTTTAGATTTTAATAGATTTGTGATTTTGCTATGATACATGTCTTTACAGAATGGAAGGAAATAACTCTTTGATATTTTCGTTGTCAAGTTTAAGTAATTAAGTAATCTTACTGAAAAAAATATTTATTACCAGCCAATACATTCAGGATACAACTCTGTAAGTTGCATAGTAATATGATCTTTTGAGTATGTATAGGATTTCATAGAGATTCTCATGAAATTAAAAAATCTAGATATTCACTGTATTTGAAATATGAAATTGTCATGATTTACTGTCAGAACAGATTATCAAAAAGACTAGAAATGAAGGTAAAGTATTTATAGCCTCTTTCAGCTGTGATTTTATAATATAATGTAAATGACCAAGATTTTTTTTCTTCTCCTTTTCAAAATCTCTACCTTTTTTGAGTACCTTTTATTGAAAAATTGAAAGTATTAACTAGCTCAAAGGCAATTCACATTAGCTTCAATATAAAAAATGTGGTTTATGTACACTCACTAAAAAGTATCTGAACAGATGAAGCTTCATAATGTGTTTGAATAGTGTATAGGAGTTGATCTGGCTTGGGCCTCGTATCATGTCAGTATTAGCAATGGAGACCTCATAGACATTTAAAGTGTCATAACTACACTTTAATCTATCAAGAGCTGAAATATCAAGTGAGGTATTTTGAACCCAACGGTGTCTCTGTGGATCCAGCGACACCAAGCAACTGTATCCACCAGAAACAAGGCCAGAAGTGGGGTATTCAAGATGTATGATGGAGGAAGATGATCAAGTAAATGTCATTCAAATCTATAAATTAATGTGCTATATGAAAGACAAATAGGAACCTTATATAATAAGATAATGAAAACCCTTTGATACTTTGGCAACATCTCTCACAGGGTTTGAGAATGGGGTGTGGCCAGATGTTAGTTGCCATGTCCCCTTACCATGAGTCACCTTGTTTTTAGTTTTTAAGTTTCATTATTATTTTTTTAACAATCCATAACTACTGCAAGGGATGCAAACCTCTTTTGTTCTGATATCAGGTCAACCTCACAGCACTTGTGCCAACCATTTTCATTGTCGTATCGTATTAAGTCAGAAAAAGTAAAGATATTTTTCCAGCGACTGTACAACACACCAATATTACGTACTAATATTTTATGTAGAAAATACATTTTTTTTTCTTAATTTATTTTCTCCCAGGAAATTTAAGGACAATAAGTTTTGTGCCTAGTTGTGTATTTTGTTCCAGATCTTTAAAATAAACGTATCAAAAAGGCAAGGGTGTATATGAAAGATTATATATATATATATATATATATATATATATATATATATATATATATATATATATATATATATATATATATATGCATTCTTTGAGACACATTAGGATTACATCCATAAAAAGATGTAATAATACACCAATGACTGAATATGCATTTTTAAAGTTAATATAAAATACCAGTGGTACATAGCAACTCATTTATAATTTGCATACATTAAGCAACTTTTACGTCATTGTTTAGAGATGCCAAAAATAGTTATGCTAGAATGTACAGTGCAATAATTTAAAAATAACATATTGCGAGAGATCTTTATCAAGATAGTTCCATTTCCAGCAATACAGGAAATGATTTACCAGTTCAAAGCTGCTAACACTGACCATTCATGAACATCAGACACAGAATTTATGATACTTGTTTAAGGACTGTGAAAATGTCACAAGTCTCATTTAAGCATATGAGCATAAATCTTGATATATCTGTTGAATTTACCTTCATATTAGTAAGTTTGTATTGCATCCCATTCTTCATATAATTTCAAAATATGGCAGATAACAGGATTTTGATATATTCAAAGTCAGTCTCATTATCAAGTTCACAGTTCCTTCAAAAATAGAATTTCTTTAATATTTTGACTATTTTTTTCTCCTTTGGATTAAATTTATTGCAAACAAGTTTTTTCAGTTCTTTCTATATCTCTGTCAAGCTGATATTTAACAAATTTCTAAATGTGTCCACATTGTAAATACAGAATTTTAAAAAATTTATTTATTCTTTTCTTATTTATTATTTTTTTCTAATGAGAAAGGCCTAGATTTTTCACAGTACATTTATTGGTTTATTTAATCATCAAAAAAAAAAATCAGCAACATCACAAAAGGCAGTAATAAAGAAACAACACAAAGTATACATAAATATTTATTCACTTATCTATCCAACATGTATTATCCTACCTAAAAAGTATTTAACAATATAACTACACAAACGCAGAATTAGTGGGATCACAGATATCGGGGGCAGGTGGAATGAAATGCACGACTTGACGCACTCACGAAAATGAGACGCGATTGGGCGAATAGACGAACAGTTCATTCCGTTTACCGTCTCCCAGCTTTTGTCGTTTTTTTGAATAAATTTAAATTCATATTCTCCTAGAACCAAGCTTGGTTTGATGTACCCTTTAGTATTTGAAAAAAACAAACAAACAAAAAAGACTTGCTAACCTGAAAATTAATATACATATTGGTTATTTTTAAATGGACTATTGAGATGAGCAAATTGCTTGCCAAATATCCTCTACATATTTATGCAAAGGAATGAATGTGTGTGTGTGTGTAGGTGTAGGTGTAGGTGTAGGTAGGTGTGTGTGTGTGTGTGTGTGTGTGTGTGTGTGTGTGTAGGTGTGTGTGTGTAGGTGTGTGTGTGTAGGTGTGCGTGTGTAGGTGTGCGTGTGTAGGTGTGTGCGTGTGTAGGTGTGTGCGTGTGTAGGTGTGTGTGTGTAGGTGTGTGTGTGTGTAGGTGTGAGTGTGTAGGTGTGAGTGTGTAGGTGTGAGTGTGTAGGTGTGAGTGTGTAGGTGTGAGTGTGTAGGTGTGAGTGTGTAGGTGTGTGTGTGTAGGTGTGTGTGTGTAGATGCGTAGGTGTGTGTTATATATATATATATTTAAAGCACACTCAGGTATCAACCAACCATGTAATAGATGGTCAAAATCATGTGCTAAACTACAAAAACAGCTGTAGAGCCTATACTTGTACAACCTTCATAGCACTCATGATTCAAAATTCAAAATATTTTTCTATTAGAAACATATACTATCTGATGATTTTGGGAACTACAACCACTGTATACAGTATTATGAAAAAAAAAAAAAAAAAAAAAATGTTATACACTTCCATTTAAACTTTAGGTCTACAATTTCCAGATAACAGAGTTTAATAGTTTTGAAAATCTGCACAAATCACAGCAAGTTCAAAATGGTACATGGGTGAAAATCTTAAGTATTCAATCTTCATCTAGTTAATGACCAATTTGCATACTTGAAAATAACATTTTTCCCTTTTTTTCACTATGGTATTGCTATCACTGGTTGAATAGTGTCTCTCTATCTGCTTGACTCTGTTTTTTTATTAAAGCAAATGCATAATGCATTCATAGTCTACACACTACACATGTATAAATGGTATTCCTTTCTCTGAGGATTCTATGGGAATATTAATTCACAACCTTCAGGAATGTGCTACTAATGTTTTCTGATACTCTTTACAGGCTATATAAAAAAAAGAAAGAAAAAAATATATATATATAAAATGAGAACACAGATGGAAGGAAAGCACAAAAAATAGAAAAACTCTTATTTCAAACTATATATAGCTTCCAAATATCAAACTGATTTACACGGAAAACTGCATTGTCTCTTTCTTAACCAGCATCTGGCCTGAATCACACAATAGACTTGATCTGGGTATTCCTTACTAACTACTATATTGTAGGGGAGTCAAAGAGACTGCATAACGACTGACTACTCTAAATCATCTGCTGTTTCAGCATCTAGAGTCGTCATCACAGAGGATCTAGCCATTTATTATAGTTATTTATATGTTATTTACTACCATCCCTTTCCACAGGACTGAGGCATTATAATTGGCAAATCGCCACTAATTGCTTTGCACAAGATGAAAAAGAGTCATAAATGGCTTTTATATAGGGTCTTGCTGAACAGTTTGTATTATGCAAACTGTAGTGAAGGTACGGATGAGGATTAATGATTCGCAATAAAAGGTATAACCGATGCTTTGATATAACATTTTTGGACATAATGATTATCTAATGAAAATGCAACATCAAAAATATCAATTATGCATATCCTGCATTATGGAATTATCCATTCTTATTCATACCTTTTCTACATTTTTATTTTAGTGAGTATTGGTAAATTCCCCTTTTGCATGCTGACACAGAAACTGATGAAATGATAAGAATCCAAACAAAGAAATACAATGGGAGTAAAATAACAAAAAAAAAAGACAAGACAAAAAGATCCTTGCTTTCATTTACTATAATTATCTATTGACCTGAATGCTAGAGGTAACAAACTGCCTTGGACCAAGCAGTGGAAGCTTTACCCAGTAGGAAAAAATCAATGCCTTTTCTGTAAAATCGTAAAATCATAAAACAATGCAAATCATGCAATTATATAATCATAAGAACAATTATGCACAAAGATGTATATCGATTAATAAGCGGATTTTTCATGAAAATGGTGAAAAAAATTCATATTATGCAAAAATATGGTTTAAAATAAAGAAAATGAAAGCTGATGGATGGGGCCACTATGATGGGAAATACAAATTAGCTGTTATTAGGTGAGGTTATGATTAAAAGATAATAATAATAATGATTGATACTATGTAAGTATATGAAACAAAATGCTATAAAAACAGCACCAG